TGTAGTTCTGATAAGAGCTGTCCTTGAAAAAGAGCAGTTTCTGTCAGACCTCTCTCAGCCCCACCTACCTCACAGGGTGTCTGTTGTGGGAAGGGAAAGGAGATTGTAAGCCGATCTGAGACTCCTCTGGATAGTGAAGGGCAGGGTATAAATCCAGTCTTCTTCTCTGTAGTTCTGATAAGAGCTGTCCTTGAAAAAGAGCAGTTTCTGTCAGACCTCTCTCAGCCCCACCTACCTCACAGGGTGTCTGTTGTGGGAAGGGAAAGGAGATTGTAAGCCGCTCTGAGACTCCTCTGGATAGTGAAGGGCAGGGTATAAATCCAGTCTTCTTCTCCTCTTCCTCCTCCAGTTTGGTGTAGTGGTTAAGTGTGCAGACTCTAATCTGGGCGAACCGGGTTTCATTCCCCACTCCTCCACTTGCACCTCCTGGATGACCTTGGGCAAGCTGTAATTCTGTCAGAGCTGTTCTTGAAAAAGAGCATTTTCTGTCAAGAGCTCTCTCAGCCCCCACCTACCTCACAGGGTGTCTGTGGTGGGGAGGGGAAGGGGACTCCTCCTCCTCCTCCAGTTTGGTGTAGTGGTTAAGTGTGCGGACTCTAATCTGGGCGAACCAGGTTTCATTCCCCACTCCTCCACTTGCACGTCCTGGATGACCTTGGGCAAGCCGTAGTTCTGTCAGAGCTGTTCTTGAAAAAGAGCATTTTCTGTCAAGAGCTCTCTCAGCCCCACCTACCTCCCAGGGTGTCTGTTGTGGGGCTGGGAAGGGAAAGGAGTTTGTAAGCCGCTCTGAGACTCCTTTGGGTAGTGAAGGGCGGGGTATAAATCCAATCTCTTCTTTTCTTCTTCAATGAAACTCTGCAACGATTCCGGGTCGAGGGGATTCTTCTTCTTCTTCATTCTGTGTGGCTCTTACATTTAGCAAGTTTGGTTACCCCTGGGCTAGAGTGTCAGAGAAGGATCTTAGAGACCTGGCTTCAAAGGCCAATTAAACTCAAGGCTCCCGGCAGGGCAGCTGGTTTAGCTTTGCGTTAGCAGGCAGGAAAGCGAGAACAAAGGTGGTTCTTATTAATGCGGCCCACAGAGATGCAAGGCATTAACATTTTGCAATTGGAACTGGAATTTGTAGATGCTGTGTATCATTTTAATCTGAGGGATTTTAGACATTTTATACATTGTATAAATGATTTTAGACCCCTGCTCCTTGGGAGGAAATCGATGGCAAACCTAAACAGCATGATAAAAAGTAGAGACATCACCCTGCCAACAAAAGTCATGTATGGCTGCGAGAGTTGGACTATAAGGAAGGCCGAGCGCTGAAGAATAGACTCTTTTGAACTATGGTGCTGGAGAAGACTCTTGAGAGTCCCTTGGACTGCAAGAAGATCAAATCAGTCAATCCTAAAAGAAATCAACCCTGACTGTTCCCTGGAAGGCCAGATAATGAAACTGAAGCTCAAATACTTTGGCCACCAAATGAGAAGGGAGCACTCACTGGAGAAGACCCTGATGCTGGGAAAGATTGAAGGTCAAAGAAGACGGAGATGGCAAAGGATGAGATGGTTAGACAATGTCATCGATGCAACGAACATTGAGCAAACTTCAGAGGATGGTGGAAGACAGGAGGGCCTGGTGTGATCTGGTCCATGGGGTCGCGAAGAGTCAGACTCGACTGTGCGACTGAACAACAAATAAATGAATTTAATTCTAATTGAGTTTAATAACTAAATGTGTATTTTAAGATGTTAGGGTTGCAATTTTACTTAAAATTGTGACGGCCAGTGGCCAGATACAATAAACCTCATTCACATTCACTTTCTCAGCCAAGTCTACCCCACTGGGTGGCGGTGAGAATAAAATGGGAATGGGTAAGTCACGTATGCCGCCCTGAGATGTAAATGTACCAGAAAGATCAGAATTAGCAAGGCTGGGAAAGCCACTAAAGAGCCCTTGCTACGTGGTGTCCGCTGGGCTGTACACAAACCATTGGCTTGGATCATTAGGTATCTCCATATGTTCAGGTAGCCACTTGGACTAGGCAGTGTGGCCTCCCTGGCCTAGAGAGAAACCCCACACGTATCCCGAGATGACTCACCTTGTTCCCTCTTTGGGCTCTTTCTCCCCGAACAGGTTCTCTTCGAACTCGCCCGCTACCACGCTCCCTCCACGATCTTCCTGGACGAGCTGGAGTCAGTCATGAGTCAACGAGGCATCTCTCCGGGGTAAAAGAGCTCTCTGCGATTTCCCAGCCCTTTCTTGATCCATTCCCCTGTAAGGGAATCCTGTTCTCTAATGAATATAAGAAGAGCCCTGCTGGTTCAGACCGGTGGTCTATCTATTCCAGCATTCTGACTCACACAGTGTCCAGCATCCTGACTCACACAGTGTCCAACAAGTTCCTCTGGGCAGCCGACAACAGGGCATAGGGGCCGAGGCCTCCATAAGGACATAAGAAGAGCCCTGCTGGATCAGACCAGTGGTCCATCCAGTCCAGCATCCTGTCTCACACAGTGGCCAACCAGTTCCTCTGGAGGGCCAACAACAGAGCATAGAGGCCGATGCCTTCATAAGAGCATAAAAAAAGCTCTGCTGGATGAGACCAGTGGTCCACCTAGTCCAGCCATCCTGTCTCACACAGTGGCCAGCCAGTTCCTCTGGAGGGCCGATAGCAGGATATAGAGGCTGAGGCCTCCATAGGAACATAAGAGGAGCTCTACTGGATCAGACCAGTGGTCCATCTAGTCCAGCATCCTGTTTTACACAGTGGCCAACCAGTTTCTCTGGAGGGCCAACAACAGGGCATAGAGGCCAAGGCCTTCATAAGAACATCAGAAGAGCCTTGGTGGATCAGACCAGTGATCCAGCTAGTCCAGCATCCTGTCTCACACTGTGGCCAAGCAGTTCCTCTGGAGGGCCAACAGCAGGATATAGAGGCTGATGCCTCCATAGGAACATAAGAGGAGCTCTGCTGGATCAGACCAGTGGTCCATCTAGTCCATCATCCTGTCTCACACAGTGGCCAGCCAGTTCCTCTGGAGGTCCAACAACAGAGCATAGAGGCCAAGGCCTCCATAAGAACATGAGAGGAGGCCCGCTGGATCAGACCGGTGGTGCATCTAGTCCACCATCCTGTCTCACACAGGGGTCAACCAGTTCTTCTGGCGAGCCAGCAACAGGGCATGGAGGCTGAGGCCTTCCCCTGATGCTGTCTCCTGGCACAGTTATTCAGAGGTTTACTGCCTCGGGATGTGGAGGTTCCCTTTTGTCCCCATGGCTAGTAGCCACTAATAGAGCTGTCCTCCGTGAATGTCTAATCTCCTTTATAGCTGTCTGTGGGTTGTGGGCACAGTTGCAGCAGGTACAAGTTCAAGAGTCCTAGAAGAAAGTTCTTTTGGTCTTTTCCTAAGGCCCACTTTTCCTTCCTCCTCTTTAACCATCCCTATACACATATGTACTAGGATCCAGGCGGGTAGCCCTCTTGGTCTGAAGCAGGAGAACAAAGTTTGAGTCCAGTGACACCTTTAAGACCAACAAAATTTAATTCTGGGTATCAGCTTTCATGTGCACGCCCACTTCTCCAGAGAAGATAAATTATTCCTGCCCTTCTACTGTCAGATCCTTGAAATCACTGTCACAGTATAAAAATCCATAAAACGCTGTTTAAAATAAAAGCGCAAAGCCAGCCGGCATCTATGGAGCAGTGGAACAGAATGAGGCAAAAACCCCATTTCCAGAGGGAGGGGAACCACAAAATAAACAGAGCAAAACAGCCGAACACCTGGCTAAATAAAAATAATAGTTTTCCTGGTAGCGGGGTCAACAACTAAGAAGTCCAGGTGCCCTGCAAGCATTCCAGCACTAAGGAGCCACTAGAGTTTCAAAGGGAAGCCATGTTCATCTGCAGTAGTACAGCTAGTTTTGCGTCCAGTAGCACCTCAGTGACCAACAAGCTCCATTCATATCATCCCCTTCCCTCCAAATTTCTTGGTCTCTCTCTAGGTAGTGTTTCCGGCCCCCCACTGTAGGCAGTGGGCAACCCTGCCCCCCGGGCCCCACCCCCCGCTGCTGATCAGCTGGCCAGTGGGTGTCAGTCTCTCAGGAACTCTCAGACGCAATAATTCCTTTTACAAGCTTTATTGTGAAATCAGGAACGTTGCTGTAAAGTCAAACTCTTTCACAGAACTAAAGATTATTACAAAGTAAGGGAGCTGCGGTGGCTCAAGTGTTTAAGACGCTGAACTGCAGGCTGTGGAAGGTCGGTAGTTCAGCCGTTCGAGACCCGAGTGTGCCACATGATGGAGTGAGCTCTCATCTCTAGTTCCAGCTCCTGCCAACCTAGCAGTTCGAAAGCAAGAAATTGCAAGTAGATAAATAGGTACCACTTCAGTGGGAAGGTAACAGCGTTCCGTGCGCCTTGGTGTTTAGTCATGCTGGCCACATGACCACGGAAACGTCTTCGGACAGCGCTGGCTCTTCGGCTTGGAAACGGAGATGAGCACCGCATCCCTAGTGTCGGATTTGACTGGCATTCGAGCAAGGG